CAGCAGTGAGCAAAACTCAACCAGACTGCACATCCTAGCATACAGAGATAAACTCATTATAGAAGAATCACTTAGAAATGAAATAAAGGGTAATATTTAGAAGAGGGCAAGTGTTACGGGGGAAACGTGAAGTCAGAAGAGACAGGATAAGTAGGGAGGGATGGATTCACTATGAGCTGGTCAGGACAGGACTTACAACTTGAAGGATTTGAGAGAGAGCCACATGGATAACCAGATAATATATACAGCAGAAGCAAAGGCCTTGGGGCAGGAGCACACCTACCATGTTATTTTCTAGGGATGCCTATTAATAAGCCTCTAGCTTCCTTGGTCACCAAATTGTTGAAGAGGACAGTCCTGTAGATAAAGCTTGGATGTGACAGCAGGAGGGAGAATCATGTCCATAGCAGAGACTCCACATATAGGTGATAGGAGAAAGAAGTATTGTCCCCAGATTCACAGGTAACTGGTAAATACTATCACAAAAGCGATAAAAGCGCAAAGAAGGGGCCAGACACTGAGAGAGCATCATGAAAGGATTCACAGGACAGGAGCTCAGAGGGCTATTGATCAGAAAGATAAACGGATACATAAAACAAAAGGCCATGGCCTGGTCACACTTGTTTCTACAGTCTCTGGTCCAGTTACTCCAAACATGTTCGGGTCTCAACAAGGGTAACACAGAGAACAGATTATTTTCTAGTCCCAAAGGCCGTAGCTCCACCCACCTCTCTGACAGCCCTCTTAAATCTTGCTAGTCCCTCTGTAAATTTCATTTTATCTCCAGCTATTTCTGAAATACCAATCAGAGTCAATCATTCAAACACAAAAGATTCAACAGAGTATACGATGAACAGTCTCTCCTTGACCCCGCCCTTTGCCCCAAGTGCTCAGCCCCAGAAGAAAATAAGATTACCTTGTTACCAACTGGGGGACATTTATGTGATTATATATATATGCATATGTTTTATTTGCTGGAATAGAACATGGGATACAGTTCTGTCTCTCATATCATTTCATTTTCTTGGGAAATTCCATACTGGCATATAGGCTCCTTCTTATTTATCTGAGAGAGGGTTTCGCCACACAGGTCCAGCTGGCCTTGTGCTGTGTAGATGAGGCTACCTTAGAATTTAGGAATCAACCTCCCCACACACACACATACACAGCCTCTGCCTCTTGAATGCTGGGATTATAGACATGCTGTACCTTCTTTTTAAAAATGACTGACACTTACATAGATTTCGGTACTTTAGATATTGTGGGAGTACATTGAGGGACCATGTCAACATAAGGATCTAAAAAAGTTCAAACTTCCTGTGGATTCTAAACCAACAGCCATTAACATTTAAAGAAGCGCCTTTGCTCTGGAATCCCAGGTCTTACTTACCTAAAAGCTTTGTGATTTATCCAACACATATGCGGAGTTAAGGCCGCACAGCCTTAGACTGCATGTTAGCACCCAGCCACTCCAGCTGGCTTGGAAGAGAATTCCCAGGTGGGCCCGGTGACAGAAAAAAATGATTTAAAATATTTTGATAACAAGCTCACAGAGGCAATATTAGTTTTAGGTTGAATCTGCTTTGCTAAATCCTAAACTGCATCTGTGTGTGTGTGTGTGTGTGTGTGTGTGTGTGTGTGTGTGTGTGTGTCTTTAAGTTTTTTGTTCCCAAAGAAATTATTTTAACGAAAAAAAAAAAAAACTTTCTAAAACAGTTGGGTTGAACAAAAGTAGAGCAAACAAACTGTCTGATCTTACCTGATCTACACTAACACTGAATGTACAAGTAGCCTCCAAAATGACTCCCAGGCATCAAGAACTCAGCAGCTCCGCTTCCCAGAGAGAAGGCACTAACCATCTAAATGACTGCATGGTGACATGGTCAGAGCCAGGTACTGACACTGAGTGCAGTTCCTTTGGGTCTCAAGTTCATATTGTAAAATGTAGAAAAGTAACTCAATGGGACCATTATTAATTTGGCAAATCAAAACAGAATTCTGAGCTGCCTTCCCTTCCTTCTCGCCTCGAGCTATGGCACAACCTCCTGAATACACTCGCATTCAGCTCTTAGAAAGCCAGGGGATCTGTGCCATAAGGTAAAGGGTGGGCCGCAACCCCTTCCATCAGTTCAGTGGGTCTGAGGATAGTAGGAATCAGGTTTACAGGATCCAGGGTGCTGTACTGGGCTCTGGAGGGTGGGGAGCTTGGAGGGGGGTTTGGTCTAGTGCCTGGCTATGTGAGGCAGAAGCAAGGCAGGACTGAGCAGGAACGTCACACCTGCCTGTGAACCCAAGGTGGATTTCTTCATTTCCTATGGCACCATCGCCACCGTGTTCTCACTTTCCAAATCTTCCCTTGTTCCCTATATAATTAGGAACTTTGTTTTAACCCCTCTTGTCATCCTCGTGCTCGAGGCTCACTTGCCATTTAACTGTTGCCTTATCTTTATCAAGGGGTCAGTATATCCTGTTAAAAATGTGAACACTAGCTCAAAGAGGTCCAGGGAAACATAACCATTAGACATTACAACACATTAGACATGATAACCATTAGACATGACAACATAGTTGTCATCTATGAAGCTCAAAATCAAGGATTTTCCAAGTAAGTTGCAAAAATATCTCAGTGTCCTGAGCATAAATTTTATGCTTTTGTTCTGAGACACACCATAGCTCTCCTGGGCACATGAGGCCTACAGGTTGAAGCTTAGACACACTTACTAGCTGAAGGTCATGTGGTATGTATCACCTAATTCTGCAATCAATTATCACTTCCAGTATCTGTTTGGAGAAAGAAACTGCAAAATGACTAAGGACTTTTCATGAAAACAAAAGGCCCCCAATGCCATAAACTCTAAGGAGGCCTACTGTGCAACTCAAGGCAAGGATGGGTTAGCCAATTGCATGAGGTCATATGGGGTAGGAGGAACCTAGGACTTCTGGCCCCAAAGTGTCATTCTCCTAATGTGCTGGCTCAGCTTGCCAAGCAGCCTGCCAACCCAGCAATCTGAAGGCCTGAGGGTCATTTCCTGGGGTGAATGAACATGTGAAGCACAGGGGAAATATGACTTCAACCTCAGAGACCATGTCTGTGTGTGCTAGCAAGTCACCAAGCAATAGAACAACCTCTTGAGTGTTTCAAGCTGCTTGAAAGTAACTTCTCAGGGTCAGTCTTGCCCTTGATACACAACTCTAATACTTTACAGTAGGGTGGACTGTCCTTCAGCATAGGCAGCCACTATCACACGTTTAGGAGCTCTAAGTCTACCACAAAAATGACGGCACAGGGACATCAAGGGGTCAGTGACTACTTAGAACTTGTGACCTCCAGGAAGGCTGTGGCTACAAACCACAGCCTAACTTCCCTCTACCTCAGAGGCCTGGGATAGGGCCAAAAGGCCTGGCTTCCACTGCGGGGGTTTTCCTGGGTTCCTGTCCACAGAGCATTGGCACAGCAGCATCCTTCCATGCTCTTCTCAGTCACCAGAACTTAACACTTGAGAATGCTCTGTTGCTCCCACCTGTGTGACCAGATAGTATTGGTCACAGTTAACTCACACTCTGACCCCCTGGGATCAAACATCTCACCCACGCTCAGCCAAGGCCATTGTTATGGCACGTTATTTGTATGAGGCGGGAGCTAGGTGCATCAGTAAGCTCTGACAGGCTTCCTGGTCTATCAAGACTTCAGTCAGTCAGTCCTTTCCATTAAGACAAAGCTGCTGTATACATACTCATCCCCTTAGCAGCAAAGGAACAAAGCAGACTCTACATGTTTCTTCTGCACCTTTATGAGATGGCCAGAGAATGCCAGGATTCCAATCCACCCAGCACTGTGGAAGGCTCAGAGAATGTTAAAAAGCAGAGTGGCAACCAATGAAACCAGTTAAAACAGGCTTCAACCAGATCCTGGTATGACTCTCCGTAGTTGCATAAACGAGAATGGGTGTACTCCTCCTCAGAGGCTTGCTGTATGGACCATCAGATTCAGCTCATGGGAGAGGGGCCAACCATTTCCAGTCTTTCCTTACAGGCCCTTTAAGGCAGGCCAGAGGGTCTGAGGTGGAGAGGGAAGGCAGGTTTGCAATGAAGCCCCAAACAGAGCAAGTGTGATCCCTTGGGACTCCAGCCTGTTGTAGGATCCACCAGGCCCTGTGCATGCTGGTTTTACGCGACAATAATCCGATTAGAGTTCCATGGATGATAAGAGTGGCAAGTACAGCTGAAAGCAGAGCGCATACGCTTGTTTCCCTGTGTCTCCTGTAAGGGAATGCTTCCTCGATGAAGAAAGCACATCCTACTGAAGTTGAGAATGAAGCAACCGGTGTTTATTTTTTGAAAGATAGATGCGTGTAATCCGCACTACTCATAACATTCTGAAGGAAGTAAACAATGATCAACATTTCTCATCTGAAAAATAAATAATACCCCGTTTGACTTACCCTGATAACCAAAGACAAAGTTCAAATGGGAAAAGAGGATAACAACCACAGCGTTCAAGGCTGAGACAGAGTATCTGATTCTGAGAAGGGGTGGGCGGGGGATGGGATGCCTCCAGTGAGGAACTCAGGAGAGACCGACATGCAAGCTTTACCTATAAACGTTACATATTTTATTTGACAAGCTGAGACCTTTTTCAAGTCTTTAGTTATGAGAACAGCAACAAAATGTAAGACGATTAAAAACCAGCATCTGAGAGTCCGCTGTATGGTTAGGAACAGATGCAGGACGGGGAGAGCACCGGCGAAGCTGGGGGACTCTAACCCCTACCCTGCGCTAGCCAACATACTTGGATTTATGCTTCACTTTCAAGTGGGACTGCCCAGTTTCCCCATTCCGGGTGTCCACTGCCTGCAACTCTGCGTGGCTGCACAAGCGGTCTTGCTGTGCCATGCGACAGCACTGCAACTGGAACAGTAAGACCCGGCTCGAGGGCACACACCCTCGCCTTAGACAGAACTACACACCAAAAGTACAAATTCTAGAAATAAAGACAAATGGTGGCTCGAAGGGCGTGATAGTTTATTTAAAAAACAAAAACAACAAACAAAACAACAACAGGAAAATGAAACGCTACCACACCGATCATCGTGACCAGCATACACATAATGGCTTTTCTCTTGGATAGGAACATTGCAGTATTTTCAGATACTGAAATGTTTCAATAGGACCAAGAACGTTAGAGAATAAGGATCTTGGATGAAAATGGACGCTAGTAAGTCTGGTGCTTCACCCCACAGGATTCATTTAAAGTCCCATGAATCAGTTGCATTATGCTCCATGGTTAGAAGAACAAAAGTTCTCTTAGAAGGAGTCAGCATGAACTTTTACTTCTTCATATTTTAATCTTTAGTTTTCATAATTTAAGCTGTGTCCACCCTGGCTAGAGCCTACTCGTATAAGACACCTCAGGTAATTTCCTTGATGCTATTGCACAAGTTTAGTCATTTTACTTAAAGAAAAAAAAAAAAAATCAAACCACCACCACAACAAAGAGGCGAATGAATGTGACTTTCAAATCATTTGAAAAGCAGAGAGCTTGTTTGTTCAATACCAATTCAAACTTAAATTAAAAGCTATAATTATAACCTCCAAACTTCTGCAATAAAATTAATTTTTAAATATATATGGGCTTTCTTTATCTAACTGTACTTTACAATCAACAAGAGGAAGTTGCTTTTTCAGAGAACACGGCTTCTGGCGACAGTCCCACCAGCCTGTGGAGACAGCGCCGTATGAGGCCAGCTCTGCCTCTAAGTTCTAAGGTACAAGGATTTGACCAGAGGTCGACATTATCATAATCTGTTCTTAGAAATTCAACCCATATGTGATTACTTCATAGAGAGTAAATACACTGTTGAGTAATTGTCCCACTAGCCTTTCTGACTCTGACCTTTCTGCAAGCTGACCCTTTTGGGTAACTGTGGCTCACCCCCTTTGAATTTGGCCTCTGTACTCCCATGTTACTGTGCCAGTACCAAAATTTCTGGGGTGGTGTAAATGTAGTTCACAGGGACAGCAGATACAGGTCCTTCAGCCTTCATGACAGCTTTTACATCTGTAAACTCAAGAATCACATTATTTAGCTCAGCAACTACAAAAAACATTGAGGTTTGGGCATTTCACACCAGAACCTCTTTGTGCTTTATAAATGAAGCTGCTTGTGAATCTTTTTGGTATTTATCAGTCATCTGTAGTTCCCTTCTAATAATAAAAGGCTATATTTAAAATAATTTTTAAGGTTAAATGTTCTGAAGGGGGCTTTATCAATACCTAGTTTTTTAAAATACAGTATAAATCAGTATTTCTTTTTTTCTTCAGTACTGGAATAGGAGAAATTATTTCTGGTCCCTCCTTAAATCAACCGACACCACTTCTCATCGCATATAACACTGAAATTTACAGACATCCCTGAAATTTTTTTATTAAGTAAACGAGTGAATCACAGTGGAGTCTCATTCAATTAACAGTGTAGATCCATTTAAGATCAAAACAAAAAGCTGAACATTAAAAGAAAATTTCAGGCTTAAAAAAAAAAAAAAAAAAGATGACAGGAGACCCTCCCCAAAACTAAGACGGAGTGCGTTGCCACTCGCTGTGTGTTTCTATAGCTTCTCCGTGCTCGGATCCCTCCCTCCCACGTGCTAAGGGCGTTGCTGAAATCCTCAGGCCTGCTCCGTAGGCCGTGTACTATGGGTATATGGGACTATGGTGCACTGCCTTTTCCCCTATGAGACTCTGCCTCCGAAGGTGGCATCCCGTCTCACTCCTCTGTAACTGCAAGCATCTCAGCGGACAAGGACGCTTCCTGTGCAAAGTGATGGCCACCATTTCTCCCACCTGCCCCCAGAGGTGTGAGGCTTTCACCAGTCTGCCACCAATGCACCGGCCTGTCGCTCTTTCCATCAGAAAAGTTGGGGCTTAAACAGAGGTGGGACAGAAACGAAAACAACCAGTCTAAAGGCACAAAGTCGCATAGCTGCTCTAGTTGGAGTCTGTAAACAGAGAACAGGTTGGATTTAGGTGATCTCGATCTATGAGACTAAAAAGGCATACACAGCAGGCTTTTATCTAGCCAGCTTCTTTGAGACTCTTCATGGGTTTTGAGGTCTACAAAGTATACACTAATATACCCATACTTCAAAAAGCAATAAGGCAAATAGTATAATCATTATCCAAAAGTTACAATGGTAGTGTAGGCATACATAGTATAATTTAGTTACAAAGTGTGGTACTGTTTCTGCTACATAACCGTATTAACTGCTTCTTTCCTACATAATTATACATCCAGCTGGGTTTCAGCTGAACACAGGACCATCCTTGTACCACACCTACAGTTGGCAATAGCTCTTTGAAAGCAGTTTTTATCCTGCTGTAGAAATTAGCCTTGAACTGAAAAAAAGTGCGCAGTTCTGGGTGCAGTCATTAAACGCTGTCGTATTTGTGAAGAGCTTCTTCCAACTTCTGGGTCACTTTTTGGAAAAATATTATTTGCTGTTGTAAAAAATGCTGCATCTGGGATTTAAAGTCTCTCACTCTGATTTGATGGAAGTGATGAATCTCGGCCAGTGTGGCAAAAGAAATCGTGTTACAGCGGTCTTGAATGCCGTCTGCTTTTTGGACCTCCATCTTCCCTTCTTCCACGTGCCGCCTACTCTCCTTTACTTTGGTAAGAGCTCCTGTAGTCAAAGACAACAGTCAATTAAAATACATACATACACACACACACATCGCAGTGACACAGCTAAGTTTAACATGGAAACTTAGGGACTGTCAGTACTTTGTCTAAACTATGGCAGCATCCTTCAGAACTCAAAGTGGTGACCGTGAGTACCAACTTAAAAAGCAGCCTGCTTTCTGGAAATTTCACCTACCCAAACCAAAAAACAATGTTCTGCACTGACCAGGCCTCTGTAGTATTTCTTGAGATGCTATAACTAACAGAAAGGTGTAAAAAAAAAATGGTCCTTTTGAAGATAAACCCCCAAACCAGTTTTTATGTTTACAATGTATGAGACCTTTGTTTCTATACTTATTAAGAGAATTATATGCGAAACCACACCCCATAAAGAGTGAAGTCCCCTTTCCTGAAGAAATCTCCCTAAAGAGCTATTGTATGAGGTCAGAACCCATCCCTAATGCATGTTGGTACCAACTCAAGCTGGCTCTGGAAATGAGTCGATGGTGGAGGCAGGGGGCTGGGAAGTGTTTCCAGTGTAGAAGGCTGTCAGGGTGCCTAGGTAACGTGCCAACGTGCAGTGACACATGCATGCCTAGTCTGGCAGAATCTTCTGGGAGACCATGACTGGGGCACTAGCATGGTGAATGATCAGAATGTGACATCTTCTTGGAACTACAGGGGCTGTGGGTTTTAAGTCTGCTCTAATAATGACTGCTTCAGAAGGTCACCAGAGGTACCGTAGCTTCTTATCTAGGAATTTTTCCAGAGTACTGCAGGGTAGGGGCATGGGCTGGTCATTCTGGCAGGTGTCACATGAAGGTGGACTCCCCTCAGAAGCATACGCCACACGGGAGACTGCAGAGGCAGCAGATGATGGTGTTATCCTTTGGTTTCCAGGGCTGACCATTGTTGATGCTCACATGGTCTGGGCACATTTTAGCAGCTTAAGAATGGAGGTGTCCAGAGGCATCTAGAATTCACGCTTCTAAAGCATTCTGAAAGTCAGAGACTACAGAGCACGGAAGCCAGGAGTGGGACCCAGCAGTCCATGAGTGTGATGCCAGAGGAGAAAGGCAGCCTATTCAGTCTTATGGTGCTCACTTTTACCTGACGAGGCCACCCTGTTTCTAAATGCCTTCGGATCTGAGAATCCAGAAAGTAAACTAGTATTCAGCTAAGGTTAAACAGCACACTTTTCAAAATGCTATGCTAATAACATCTGTGGGATAAGACACAGGACCCCACAGAGGCCCTGCCCTGCCACTGAGCTCTGGTGTGACCCTGCGCCTGCCACAGCACTGGATAAAGTGGAGAAGTGAAAACCCACCGACAGCAAATTTCATGAAGAGAAATGCATGTCTGTGGAGGAATGAACAAACCCACACATTTTTTTTCATGTGCTCATTCTAAATGAGACCTTTCATTGAAATGGGCAGAGGACCAGAGCAGCAGGGCACAGCACAGCAGGGGCAGACATCCATGCCAGCATTGGCAGTGTTCCACGCTGCCACTGAGAAGAACGCTTTGCTGGGCAGAGAGGCAGCCAGGACCAACTCCCCTCCCCCCGACCTAACCTCCCACACCCAACCTGAAGTAACATGTGGTTTTAAGACAGCCCTGTCCAGCTGAGTATGATACCTTCAACACTTCTCTTAGCCTGACGGCACCAGTAAGGCATTAACATGCCCTGCTCTGTATTACTGTTTGTGTGTTCTTTGAGACAGGGTCTCACTGTAAACTCCTAACTGGCCTGGAACTCCCTTCTCGACTGGGGAAGGGGGGTGAACTCACAGAGATTGACTGCCTCTGCCTCCTGAGTGCTGCAATTAAAGGTGTGCACCATGCCTGGCCAGGACCGATTTCCATTAAAAAGACCTCACCCACCCATGTGCCTGTTTACAATATAGTGTCTTTGTTAGGTTTGCACAGGCTTCCATGTGTGTACAGACATAAAAGATGAAAAGACCAGGAATGCTGAGAGACAACACTCTAGGGCAGCAAGGGAGGACTTTGTGACTTCAGTGTGGACCTCAGAAAGGTCCAGTCCAAGGCTCGAACACAAAGGGACAGGCGGTACAGCTGAGCCACAGTGTGTCCATGTCTGCACAGCGTATGCCCCAGGGGCCGATGCAGTGTGTAACAGTTGTCTCACCGTAACATTCTTCTGGCTGGACAGACAAACAAGGTGGGCAGAGAGGAGCCTGTCCTACCACTGGACAGCCAGTGCTTTCCTCCTGGTTACAGACTGCTGTCACTTTCTCACTTTCCTCAAAACAGTCACGGGGGGGGGGGGGGGGGGGGGGGGTGGGGGGGGGGACATGGTATGAAGTATGTATGCAAGGAGTACATGTATGGTAAATGCTTAAACTTCTGCACATGCCAGAGGGGGATAGGGGGTGTCCTGTTTTATCATTTCTCACCTTATTCCCCTGTAACATGGTTATCACACTGCACTAGGAACAAGGCTAGAGTTAGCAAACCCAGTGACCCTCTTGCCACCTCTCCTCCCGGAGTACTGGGGTGCCAGTAGGTGAAGCCACACCCAGCTGTGAGGTAGATGCTAAGATCCAAACTCGGGTCCCCACGCTTACCACTCTTACACAAAGAACTAATCCCAGCCCCTGACTTCCGTTTCAAATGTGTACTTCAAAAGGCTCTCTGTGTAAAAGATACTATTTGTTTATGTCTGAAACTTTTTGCTTTTACTAACCTAATTCAATTTACTAATTAAAACTGTAAAACTTTTTATACTTAGGATGTATGATCTTCCTATCTTAAATACTGAAAAAAACACGCACTTACAGTAGTTGAAAGTCTAAACACAAACTCAGACTAGGGAGGGAGTCCCCTGTTTTTTTTCTTTTCTTTTTTCTCCATCTATTTAGATGCTATGGAAGATGACATAAATTCTCAACTCTAACCCAAAATATTAACACACTGTTGCTTTAGGAATATATGGGTTTATTTGATGGGTAAACTATAACATTCTGGCAAAACAAACAAATAAAAAACGGAAAACAAATCACTATTGTAAAGTAGAAAGGACATAACAGCATTTGGAAGAATGAGTGCCAAGACCCAATTCCACTTGGAATTTCAGTTTGACCCACTTAACGAAATTCAAGTTTGCTGGCATAGCATGTCAGGTCTGCAACAGAGAGGGATGATCAATAGGCTTGTCTACAGAAACTGTGGCTCCTGTGTCAGGGCTCAAGTCATCTTCTGAGGAAACAAAGCACACATGCCTGAAGCAATTAAGAGCATCTAAACAGTATGTGAAGGTGTTAAATGGCACACTATGAATGGGCGCACTCAAAGAGTAGTGAGAGCTGTGCAGTCAAGAGGGCTGCACCTCCGCCACGGTGGCTGGGGCAGGATTGCACATTCCAGGCTACTTGGGCTACACAGTAAGACCCTGTCTCAAACTGCACCACTCTGTCACTCATGACGTAGTCAATCTTTTTAAATAACATCTTTTAAATGAAACGTAGCTAACTTGGCTTCTCCTAGAACTACTTTCAAAAGAAATCGAGATGATTACATCAAGAGTGTGTGAACACGTGAGGGGGACTGAGAACTACTTTTGAGGGTTCCAGAAGCTTCCCTCTGCCCCACCTCCAGAGCAAAGCAAAACCCATTTTCCCCGCAGCCATGCTCTTCCGAGCACTGGTGGGAAGTGAAATACTAGTGTTTCTGGACGGGGACTTGTCTGGTCACAAACTGCTCATTCCCACAGCTCGCAGTTCTCAAGCTGGGAACTTTGTGCAGTTCCCTGAACGTCACAGCCTTTCATGTATAACATGTTAAATATCAAAGGAAAAGCCGAGTTCACAAACTTGCCTGTCAAACCTAGCAGGTAGGAGGAAAACTGGGGCAGGGTCACTCTGAAAATGCAAGCATTCTGTAGGACTTCGGGGACAGCGGAACACAGAATGCAGCCAGCTGCCGTGCCCGAGCACTGAAGCAGTCTCTCCAGCCCCAGAGGACAGTAAAATAAAAGCTAAAAACACTGCCCAGGACAGAACAACCAAAGGACCTCACATTTCATCAGAGAGTCAATGGGGAAACAGGGGGAGGGCTCAGCAGCTCCACTTCTTAAATGGTTCGTTTAGGAGGGAGCTGGTCCCTCATGTAGTATCTCTATGTTGCTTTCAAACCCCAAAAGGGAAAAGAAGAAATGGGGGAAGGAATTATGTGGTGAGCTCCAAGGCCAAGAGAGTACTGTTAAACAAAAGTCCCACAATGCCCATGATCACGGGGACAGTCTGTAAATGAAAGAAAAGAAAATATAAGTCAGATCAAAAGTTGGCAAATGAACAGTTCTCAAAGAGTAGAAATAAACAAGATACACATGAAAAAAGTCTCAATCAGGAAAACATGAATCCTAACTATAGTGGGATTCCATCTCACCACAGTCAGAAAAGATGTCACCAAGTTAAAAAGAAGAAAAAAAGGAGTGACTACTGAGAACACTCGGTGTTTGGAAGCAGCGTGCACACAGCATTCGTGGCACGTAACTGGTGCAGCCACTATGGGAAATCAGCATGCAGGGCCCTCAGAACCCTGAAAAGCAGGCTACGGTTTCTGGTATAGTTCAAAGCAATGTTAAGCCAGCACACAACCCACACCTTCATCCCCACGATTACTACGGCACTAACCACAACAGCCACATTCTGGAGTCAGCCTAGGCATCCATCAGTAATACACGAGTAAAGACAATGCGGCAGGCATAGAGAATGGAGCATTATTCTGACACAAACAAGTACAAATCGGGGCTGCAGAGACAGGTCAGTCTGGTCAGTCTATGCAAGCGTGAGGCCTTGGGCTCAATACCTGGCACCCACATTAAAGCTAGACAGAGGGCAGTAGTCCTGTAACATGCCCCACACACTGCTGTGCCAGAGTGGCAGAAGCAGGAGGCTCTCTTGCTAGAGGGGCAGTCTAGCCAAACCTGTGAGCTCCAGGCTCGGGACCCAGCAGAGGAGCAGGCTCATGCCT